ATTTCACTGTAATGTTTCATAAATCTTACAAACTCGTAAACTCGCATAGTTTTACAACGTAATACTCTGAAATATTATGAAAATCATAAATCTACGGAATATTACGTCACATTTAAGTTCCAGATGAGTATTGTGGATAATAGAGAATGGTTTATCCTTATGAAGGGCCTTAATCCATTCGATATTAAGATCAGTAAGATCATTATCCATAATGATAATGCGTCTCGCTTCTCAAATTAGTTTATACAATTTCTCTATTGATTGCTTTACTAAACTACTTTATGCTTGAGCAATTATAGATACTATTTCATCAAGCCATAAATCATATTGACTCAGAGAACTTTTACACTTTTTATCATATTTGCAATTATTGATAATACGATGTAGACTCTCTATCTGACACACTACCCTCTTATAATCAGGTAGATTTATATTACCATCAATATCACAATATGATTTAAAATTAAGTCTTGTAATAATAATATTTGAGTAAGAGTGACGCATAGATAATATAAGCAAATTTACATCATCAGAAATAGCCAGATTTTCAAGAATATATGTTTTTCCTGTTTTCCAAGGTGATCTAACATAAATATCACTTTCATTAGATAATAGTTTTATATACCTCTTCTCATATATTTCTGTTGCTGTAAGGGGTTTATTATACTTGATCCAAGATGAAAATTTTACGAAAGCTTTAGGAAAATTGAAAACTTTTACCTTGTGAGATAATTGTGAAAAATTTTTATTTTCTTGTCTAATTTTTTCTGTGATAGATGAGTCACATTCAAAAACTTCTCCAGGTTTATCAATATCTTGCTGAAAGCATTTTACAATGAATGTTCCACTGCTAACATATATATCATTGAACCACACCTGATCTTTGTCATGCATACGTTTACATAGTAGGCATTCTAGTGGACCTTTCTGGTTGAAATATACGAAGTTTTTTAAGTCCTTTTCTTCAATAGTACAATCCCTAAGATAATTAGAATGATTTTGCAAAACAAGTTTTGCACATTTTTGCAATACATCCTGATCTACAATTATTTTTAGTGAATTGCTATTTTTTCTTCACTAAGCATCCAAGGTCTTACTTCAAGTCCCAAATTAGTAGGTGATTGAACTCTAGTATGATCAAGCTTATTTCAACCATTATCTAGAGTAAATTGAAGAATATGTTTTATGCGACTTTTTTTTGCCAAACCAATTAGGCGAAGGTTAAAATTCTAACCAGATAATTTTTAATCAATAAACTTGCTGAATTTTTCACCAGTTATGGTATATACTAATTTAGTAAATGCTTTGAGTTCGTGATGATTAATAAGAAGAACTAGTGCGTATAAAATATGGTAGCTACACTTGCTAGGATCTGATGATGTAGTGATTACTAAACCATTGAGAATATCTTTCCAGTTATAATTAAGAATTCGATACAAGGCTCTTATAAAAGATAAGCAGATTCAAAAGAATACTTCTTGTGCTTTAATATCAGCTGTTTCATATCTTCTTACAAAGTATCTATATCAATTATAGCTCTTAAAGCTTTTTGACCATTAATATATTCATGAATCCCAGATAAGCCATAAACTTCAGAAATGTCGTTAGCAACAGAAAATTTGGAGGCATGATAACCATCTTGGTCAATTTTGAATACTAATTTATCTTTTACCTCATTTCGGTCATAAGCATTATATAAGCTAGAGCCTTTTTTATTTGGAAATAGGAATGAATAAATTGGAAGACATTCTAATAATCATTTATTATTCAACATATCTCTAGGTTGTGATAAGAGAATTTCCTGAATGGCACTTACCAAATCTTTAGGAAAAAATTTATTATTAAACTTTTCCTTTCTTAAAGTATATGTTATATTAACATTTCGCTCATATATATTTGAAAGCTGAATTAATTGAGTCCCAGTAATGCTGGTTGAAGCGCAGCGAGCTTCTTCATTATCAGATTTATAATTAGACTTATAGTTATTATAAGTATCTGATCTCAAATCAGATTCATTATCATTATAACCATCTGAGTTACTTAAGTATTCATTAGACTTAGCGCTATCGTAGCGGACAAGCGTTAGGTTAGTTTCATGATTTTGGTTAGAAGTAGTTGAGGTATACATGGCATCAGTAGGTAAAACTTTATATACTTCAATATATTTCCAAATGTTTAATTTATTTTTTTGATGGATACTCTTCTTTGATACTATGTATCTGCAGGAAATAAGCATATACACATTTTTTCTCATATATTCGACTTTTAATCAAAATTCTTCAGGAGAAAAGCTTACCTGCCTGAAATTCTAAAGAAATTGTTAAACAATTTTCCACAGAAGCTATAGCAAACTTAGTTGGCAAAATATAAAAGAAAGGCAACTAAATATGTATCTGAAAGTGTAATCTTCTACAGAATTATATTATATAAAAATGGCAGAAGGCTACATTTTTCTAGTATGTACCCAGTATAATATGATATCTAGTATAGCCTTCTTCGTAATCATTATATAAATATTAGAAGAAGACTCAATCTTTCTAGATATATGTTCGACTACAGTATAGTCTTTACATAAGACTTATTCACTTAATTTCGACTAATACTATTTCACAATTTCAGCCAAAACTTTAGGCGTAATAACTTAGCATCTAAGCTAGCATATAAGTGAACTGAAACTGGCGAATAAATAGAACCTCTCAGGCATCCTATCAGTTCCTCAACAGTTTCATGACAGTTTCATAACACTATCATGATGCTATCATAATGCCAAGCTGGAACCTAAAATCATATGCCTAAAAGATCGACTAGAATTAAGACAAAGTATTAGCTGAAATTAATCGCAAATTTACCACGCTACCTATCACCTTTTTTTATACTACTTCAGTATTTTGAAAGGTAACCAAATAGATGTGCATCTTATCCATATTTACTAACCAATAAATCACAGAGAGGGAAAGCAGATTCCATTTTTAGGACATATTAATTAATAGATTATAATGTCATAGGACATATTAGTCTAGTACAAGTGGATTATCCTAAGACATTTTAATATATTAATATATTAAAATGTCTTAGGACAATCCACTCTTGCTAAAAAAACCTTTCTATAGTTAAATTAAATTTAGTAAAAATTTGATGTAGATCAATAAATTGCACAAAATTAGTATTAATAATTGAATTTCAAATTTTTATTAAATATGTTTTAAGGTTTAATTAAGGATTTAAATAAATATAAAATCATATTTCTAACATAAGTGATTAATGAATTATAAGCTTTAAATCAATTATATTTATATATAATAAATTAGCCAATTAAATTAAATATCTCAATATATTTAATATCTCTTATAAATCATTAGATTTATCTAATAAACTAAAATCTATTAGATTTATTGGCTATTGATTTATTAGATTTATTGATTATTAGCTTAATCTTAAGCTAAATAATTAAATATCTTTAAATTCTGATTATTTAATGCAAAAACATTATTATTAAAATTTTAATCTAAGCAATAGGATTTGGAATAAAATAGGATTAAGACTTTATTTCATATTTATATAGTAGTGCCAAAAAAAGTGACAGTAATGATCATGTGATTCAAATGTAAATTATGTCATATATAAAAGGTAATACAAAAGAATTTTTATTTATTTGTTTACCTATAGTATTAATTGATATATATCAAAAAAACTGAAGTCTAAAAAAGCTATACCATCTTGGTTAACTTGCTTATTTACATGCTGGTATAACAAGTTTTGAAATTGCAGATACACTAAATAATACTTATTTAAACCTTAACATAGCCACTTATATAATTCGTAAAAACCTTTAGAAAATTAGTTACTATATTTGTATTTCTAAAAAAAATCCTATTACTCATTCCTATTGCTAAAAAAAAAAATAAAACCTTATTGACATAAAATTGGAAAAACATAATATTTTCTAATAAAACAAGTATTTCAATATTCTATAATATCACCTTAGTTCATTATAAAGAAGATAAAGAAAAACTAACTTGTAGAGTTGTTAAACATTCATTCAAAGTTCATGTTTAGGAGTTTTTTGTTCACAAGGAATTGTTAAGTTTCACATATTTACTGAAAATATAAATAGGAAATTACATTATGAAAATTTAACAAATAATCTTTTTAATCAAGTATATCAGCTTCTTGAAGAGACTTAGATATTTTAATAGGATAATAATTTGAAGTATAAAGTAAGTTTACAATGTCTCTTCTTGAAAATTAATGTTCTATAATTTTTGTTAGCCATCATATTTTCCAGATTTGAATCCAATAGAAACTTGTAAGCAATTATTAAAAAAAATATTGTTACCCAACTAATGATTAGGTGAACTGAAACACATAATCAATTGAGTAGCAGCAAGATTTAGCTTAATCTTTAGTAAGTTTTGGGAGAGACTTCGGTAAATTTGGGTTTCTGTTGACTTCAGTATTCTTTCACGATTAAGTTTCAGAATTGGCAAGTATGATGACTTCCAATCCTTCATGTAAGACAATAATTTCCTCTGACGTAGGAAATCTTCAGTTGACGTTACAAAGTTTATTTGTAACCAAGTTGATAGCGTTTAAGTAATTTAAAGATTACTTAAACCTAGATG